GCAGATGCTCGTCTCTTCGAACTGATTGTTCGCCACTTTCTCGCCTGTCTTTCTGAGGACGCGAAGGGCGCAGAGACAGCAGTAACAATATGCCTAGGAGCTAGTGAGCCACCCACACGTCGGCTTACCAGCGAGGATGGCGAGTTGTTTGAAGCCAAGGGCCTGGTCATTCATGCCCGCAACTACCTGGAGGTGTACATTTATGAGAGCTGGAGTGAGCGAGACATGCCGGAGTTCATTTTGGGTGAAAATATTACTCCAAGGGAAATTCAGGTAATTTCACCGGTCCTTGACTTTACTTCTCTTTTTCATCTTCGAATTCTCGGCGTCCCATTGTCGTGTTTTTTTCTTCAATTCGTTTTGCATACACCTCCTTAGGCATGTCATATTCACACCGGGTTGAGGTCAGCTGTCTCCTCCTTCTTGCGCAGTGCCTTTTAGCCCAAATCAAATGCCGGCTAAGCAGTCGCGCAGTAAGGACTCGCGAATGACGTTCCTTATTAGTAATAAAACTGGCAAACTTGAATTTCCCTAGACGCGCCAAGGGTCGTACTTTGAGAAGTTGGAATAGACCGGATTACTTAGTACATCTCAGGACTGAGACTCAGGCTGCAGTGCCAATGTAGTCTCTAACACTTGCGGATGAATGTTCACCGATCACTTACCGAACTCACCCGTCCCGTTTAGCTTCGGAGCTCATTCTCGAGCCCCACTAGCAGCCACACATCGGCAGATAAACGTTATCGACAAAGACAAGGCAGATTGGAATGGTCGTGTCTGGCTTCTTAGCCATCGATAACCATCCATAACCAACCCCAGGTGGCGCAACATCCGATGTTTGAACCAGAAGTTAAACGCCCTAACCATTGAGCCATGGGTTCGTTTTCCTGCCAGTTTAAGTCGGGAATGTCTGATGAAGGATCCACGACCTATTTCGAAACGTCAAGTGAGCGTAAGTTTTGTCCCAACGATCACATCATCTTCTCAATATTGACATTGGCGGATGAACGCTCGCCGGTCGGTTACGAAACTCGCTCGTTCCTTTTTGCCTTGAGGCTCACTCTCTATCCCCGTCAGCAGCCGCACATCAGGTAGTGCTATAGGCAAATGAACAGTATCGACAAAGACGAGGCAGACTGGAGGAACCATTTCCGGCTCATTAGTCGTCATCAGCCAGCCATACCCAACCCAACGTAGTGCAATACCCGATGCTCAACTCCGCGACCTTTTAGTCAGAAGCCCAACCCCTTTACCGTTTATCCATGCACTCGTTGTCTTGCCCGTTTAGATCAAAAATATTGAAATTGGCGAGTAAAAGTTCACTGATCGCCAACGGAACTCGTTCGTCCTGCCCAGTTTCAAGCCCCGTCAGCAATCTTTCAGCGGTTACTGCTACAGGCAGCTGAATATTACCAGCAAAGGCTAGAATGACCCTTTCATTATTTTTAGTCGTCGTCGGATTGTGCACCACCTTGGGTTAGGTATGGCTGACTGATGACAGCGTAAAAGTCAGAAATTGCCATTCAAATCTACCTTGTTATTGTCGCTAACATTCGTCCGCCTTTGTGGCCTTGTCACCTGTGTGATATCCGCTGTCTGCACAAATTGAATTTTAGGGCCAGTTCAGCGTGTTGCACTGTCCCCACCCGAAGTTTGAGTACGCGCCCCAACTTACCCTCTTATATTTATTTTATTTTATAGGATCATTGCGACCTAATTTGTTCCCTGCCATGCCCCACCCGTCCTCTCCCCTAAATCAGGAGCCCGTAAGGCCGAGGAGGGCGCTTCGCGCGCTCCCCAGGCGGCCCCACGAGGTATTCCTACCAAAAAATAAGGCCTACACTACCCAATCTTCTCTCCCAACGCATACGGGCTTCACCGCATTTGCTTAGTCATGGTCATGGTAGTCATCCTGCACAGACTATCTCTTCGACAGTCTATAGCTACAGACGGCTAATTCTTTTTTGTGGCTTTTTTAGTTGATTGAAAGTCAGACAACAGCACCTAATCTCCTGACTGAGGCTGACCTTATCGGCCTGATGGACAGACATGGCATCGGGACCGATGCCACGCACGCCGAACACATTGAAACCATCAAACAACGCCTGTACGTCGGCCTTCAGGATAACAAGTTTCTGGTGCCGGGGCAGCTCGGCATGGGCTTAGTTGAAGGTGCGTCTGTCTTATCGTGCCTGCTTCTTAAACACTTTCATATTCCAGCGTCGAAGAGGGTTTCACTTCCTCTTATCACTCATTTGGTACTTCGAGCTTAGCATTTTCAACGTCATACACCATGACCAAGATACCTTTTTCTTCCTATTTTTCTAATGGGAGCCTTACAAGTAACAGGGCGTACACGGGCTTACTACCAATGGATTCTCTGTCCTTCTGCGAGCTAGACTCGGTTGAAGCTTAAACATTTAAAAAGGCTAAAAGCTCGATGAAAGAATGCTACTTGCCTGTTTCAGGAGCCGTGTCATCTCAGTTATGTGCTTGGCTTGTATTAAAGTCCAACTGTTTGGGTCTGTAGCGGTCTAGTATGTGAGATCTACTATAACCACTACACTACGAGCATTCCGCCTAATACGAGTAGGCAGTCAAATGTTCGGACTAATTTATTCGTACACAAGGCAAGTTGCCGTGAATAGACTATTTGCTTGCGAGAGATAAAAGCGTCCGTCTGGGAACTTGTCAGAAGTGGTGTGTCGCGTAAGCGTTTTCCGTTGTTCGTGTCAGAACGCTGGAGTGCGTGTGGGGTGTCTGATTGGGCAGGTCAAAGGGCCTGTCAGGGAACATTAATTATGGATGGAAAGGCAGACTGGCCGATGCGCACTAGACGAGCGCTGCCTGCACATGTGACCTTGACTATGCTGAGGTCAAGTCTGGGGCGGCCGTGCTTTGCTGGAGCGTCTGTTAGTTGACAAGCCTGTGGCGGCCGTTCGGACGGAAGGGAAAAAGGAGATACTAGAGCAGCCACTAGGTCAAGCCTGGTGGCCGTCGTGAGGACATTGGGACAGCTGCCACCGGTTTGCCTATGCTTGCTCCTGCGCTTCGTAGGATTTAAGTTCCCTTGACCCTTTCAACTAAACATCGTCAATCTGACGGTGCCGCCTCGACCGTTTAAGTAGTTATACCGCTTGGCATCAAAAATAACAGAAATTATGTCTTGTTTTATGACTGCCCTGCTTTCCTTCCCACTTGAGACGAGTTGGAGGAAGCTATGTTTGACGTGAAAGTCGGGCTTTAACACCCATCGGTTTGGTAAGG